TTTTTTGGCCCAGCGAGAGTATCGACCGATGGCGCAGATTTTGGGTTACACCGAAGTTGGACTGGAGCCAAAAGATTTCAGTCGTGCTCCATCTGTTGCTGCCAAAAAGGTTTGTGGACAATATTTGGTAAATTTACTGATTCCTAACAATGAGCATTTAATCAGACCATGAGAAGATTTCCTCGATTTTGAAGTAAGAATTTTTCCCTTCATTTCTTTCCTGAGGCCTTTTTATTTAATCCTGCATTCAAATGCCCTTACTTTTTATGCGATTTTTGCAGCTATGCAACGCAGAAAACGCATATTGTACGTGTTTGCCTGTCTGTGCGTTCATCTGTACCGATTTTTCATCTCGAGACCTACAAAAGCTACGGGGCTGAAATTTTGCGAACTTAATCTACATGCGTGTACGGGCCTTGATCCCCAAAACGGGCGCTCTTACCCGCGTGTTACCCACGCACAAGTCCGCCAAAGTTTTTTGCGGGTAAGCTGCTAACTCGGAAACCAGAAATGCTGGAAGGCTGAAATTTTAAGCGGGCGTTCTCCGTCTGAGTAGGTATTAATAAGCTCAAACCCAGCCCCCGGGTGTGCGTGGTACCCATGTACGGGCCCACCAAATTTCTTTCGGGTAAGTTGTTAATTTGGGAACCTGAGAAGCTAGAGGATTGGAATTTTAAGGGGATATTCCCCATTCACTTAGGTATTAATGAGTTCAGACCTGACCCCTTGGTATGAGTCATTCTCATGGGCCTGTGTAAGGTTTTCTTGAGTAAGTTGCTAACTGGAGAACCTGAGAATCTAGAAGACTGGAATTTTGAAGGGATGTTTCCTGACAGTCCTGGCGGCTAGTCTCAAATTCTTTTAGCTAGAAGCATCTGCCAGAAAAACCAGTGCCGTTAGTGACAAAAATCTGCGGGGAGCTATGCAAAAAGCGCATCTTTGCACGGGCAGCCCGTGCGTTGGCCAGTTATTAATTTAATTCAAAGTTGTACTTTTTTTTGCAGTTACTCGAAAAAACCGGTCTTTCTGTTGAGCAGATCTCATTGTGGGAAGTGAACGAGGCGTTTGCTCTAACAGCAATTGTATTCATGCGTGATATGGGTCTGCCCGATGCTACTCGTATAAATATCCGTGGAGGAGCCGTTGCACTGGGTCATCCCATTGGGTGTGCCGCTTTTCCAAATTAACCCCTTAATTTTTACAGCGTTACTTCCCGGTTGTTTTTGGACTTTGTGATTCATTTTTTCTCGTATCTTTCTTACTTATTCTCCTTGCATTGACCTTTTGGTGCTCTGAAGCACGGGGAGGAGGGAAAGGGGATGAGGATGCAAAAACACCTATCTAAAAACTAAAACTGAATATGCTTTTCTCTAATAGCAAAGGAGCAGGTTCTCACATGTATTACCTTCAACAGTCTTTTATACATTCACATCGGCACACACACGTGCCACTGATATACTAGAATTGTCGGTTTATTCAGATTTAATTATTCCGCCAGTCGTTTACCGCATTGTTTCTTTCTTGCACTGTCACAGTTTCTGTTTATATCTGTTATTTCCTCTTACACGTGTAGCACCTTTTTGTAAAAAAAATAAAAATACGATAAACTATCAGTTAAGTGAAGTTTTGTGACTAAGAATTTCTACTAAAATTTATTGCAGAGCATCAGGCGCACGAATTGTTGTTACGCTTCTGCATGCACTTCAGCCGAACAGAATTGGGATTGCGACGATTTGTAATGGAGGGGGTGAAGCAACTGCTATTGCAGTGAGACGTCTGCCAGACTGGGATTGATTTCAAGTATTCCATTCTGGGAAGTATGGAATGTTGTGCTGGATGGTCATCTAACAGAATCTCTCCTACCGCCTGTTATCGTAAATTCGTATTCATATTGTTGTGATGCATTTTTTGTAATTTCTTGACGGTTGTCGTGCATAATTAAAGTTAAAAGACAACATGGTATGATTGTATTTGATAAGTCGTAACCGCAAAAAGCTTATGCTCAGGCATTTGTTGACAGTCGAAATGACGGGAAGCTTTGCAGCGAATGAAGTCATTGTACTGATCGTTGAAGTAACTTCCGATTGCTTTTTCCGGCTATAAAGAATGCGGCACATTAAGGGTTCTTACCGGATGTTCATAAATTGTGCGAAATATTCCTAAGAGCTTCGGATTCTTGCTTGATTTTTTTTAGTCTTTTTTGCTTTTTGTTGCGTACAGCTTGCTGCTTGCAGTTTTTCCGTAACTTTCTGGTCTAATGGAATTTTTCATTAAAACGTCATACTGCAGAAGTATAAAGTAAAGCAAAGGAGGATTGCTATTTGTCCTTTTTATGCGTCAAAGCAGTAATTACATTTACATTCCTATTTTAACGGGTATGATTTGGGTCGAAATGGCTTTAAAATAAATAGAAGCTTGCACTTAGGGGTGGTGAGAATCATGCATTTTGTTTGCGATGAGTTTTTCAGTGGCATACCAGATAATAGAGGATTGAGCTGTTACAACGAACGATAGATTTAATGCGTTGTAATAATCGAAAATGCGATTTCATAATTTGTTCCGTGCTGGAGTCAGTGATTGCCGATTTGATTCTGAGAAGTCACACAATATCCTAAATAGTTGATTTTTGGCTATTTTGCACCATTTTTTGAGTAAATACTACATTTTTCTGTAACTTCTCAATTCTTCGCTGATAACGTTAGCTTTAATCTGAAGCTAATATGACGGCCAAGGGCAGAGCCAGCTGACTGTTTAAGATAACAAATTTATGCTTACATTGGTCTGTCTACTCGT